AAGAATTGCCTAAAAATATTACGAAAGTCACCGAACTGTGGAATCGCATAAAAAATTCGTATATCGACCACTCCCACAAACGTCTACGACCGCGCCTACATATTTTTTGCATCCATACAATTCTAATTTTAAACAGCCAATCGACGTTTAATTGTAATTGTTACCAAGAACCTGATTGGCTGTTCAAAATTAGAATTGTAAACATGCAAAACTATGTAGGTGCGGTCGTAGCCGTTTGTGGGAGTGGCCGATATACGAATTTTGGATGCGATTCCACAGTTCGGTGACTTTCGTAATATCACTTTTAATTACAAAATTATCAATTCCCAACATATATATGTTAGGTATGTTAATATACGTAATATAAGCTTCAATTTAAGGTAAAATTCAACCACAAACGCTTCGCAAAACGTTTTAAAGTGTTCTTTATAAAACTAAACTGCCTTTAATTAAATGGCTATATCGATAAGCATTGAGTTTGCAATAAAATGATTTCAAATTCTCTCATGCAAATAACTTTTCTTTCTTTTTTACTTATAAAATTCAATCTAATAAAAAAGGGAATCAATATTAAAGATACACAGAAATTATATGCTGTCTTGTTTAGTTGTTTCTTATACGCAAAGGCCGTCGAGTTTTAAAGCCATTATAAAATCAATATTTAAAACAAACTTACCTTCGTTAACGTCGGCTCCCTTCCTTTAGCCGATTCTTTTGCCCTTTCTTTTGAGAAAGCTTTTGAAATTTACAAAATGAAATATATTTGCAAGAATTTTATCAATCATCAAATCAAGAAATGTTTGCTATTTCGCCACAGATTTCGCTGTCGTTATGCAGTCGTTATAATGCAAACTTTAAATTGGACCAGTCAGTGTCCGCTATTCATGACATTCCGCCATATTTTTGAGATCAGTGAGGATGACCATCTATGGGATGACCACCCATCGTTGGTCACCCACGCACGCGATAATTGATGAACTTTAGACTTTGCTAATGCTTGGATGTAATTAGCCGGGGGAATTAGTACCCTCGTACGGCGCCTTCGGCTCGGGAATAAAAGCTATTATATACACTCAAATAAGCGTTTTATTGTATTGCGAAAAGGCTAACTTAGATCTTGATGTATACAGTCCTAAAAATGTCATGTAAATTATTACATGCACATCAGATACAACTGTTTGAATTTGGCGCACGCTATAAAAATGAGTAAAAAAATTGAGAAACCTGGCTGATCATATTTATAAGAAAACAATTGCCATTGTCCACAAAACTAACAGCTTGAAAAAGCAATTTCTTGCTAGTCCGTAGATATTTCAATTTGATATGTAAATGAGTGTGAATATGTCCGCTAATTTATGACATATCACATTGGTTGCAAGCTCAATTTACACTGGTTATAAATCTATTAACTCTAAAATATATAAATATCTGTTCATGTTTTTCTACAGTGTCATCACATTTACCAGTGAGTGAAGTTTGAAATTATAATCTTGGATAATAGCAGTGATATTCAACCATTTTGAAGAGCTTGCAACCAACATGACGTCATAAATTAGCGGACATATTCACACTCATTTACATATCAAACAAATTGAAATATCTCGGGAACAAACCATAAAAACTGAAAAATAAGTTACGCTACAGCTTAAGGTGGCTCGATACAGTTTTCAGAAATTAATGTGTTTAACACTTTGACATGTTCAAACTACGTATTTTTAGGATTTATTCAGCAGATATTGGGTTTTTTATATATTTTGATAACTCTACTTTCAAATTATATTATTTTTAGTAACAGATAGTTCGTTGCTATGACGACATACGTGTACGAAATTCACTCCAAAATGGCCTATCGCCTCGTATAGTTGGAAAAAAAGCATGCTGACCCTCAATTTTTTTTCGTGCATTATTTTACTTGGACGAAAAGCTAACAATTAGCAAAATATAAAAAAATTCTGTAATGCCATTTTTTTGGAAAATGCGAAAATGTCATATTCTTCGGTAAAATTTTTTTGGCATTACAGAATTTTTTTATTTTTTGTATAATGAAAGTTTTTAGCAGTGCAATACAGCATGCAAAATTTGAACATAAGTCACCAGACAAAATAAAGAGATATAGCGCATTGTTTTTCTAAAATGGAAAATTCTAATGACGTCAGCAATTGTCATAAAATGCTATAGAACACGTGCAATGGCGTGATAGGGCGCGAGCAATTGCTCACGTCAGGTCATTTTGGAAGTTCTTTTTCATTTGTTAATCAGTTTCCGCGACCTGCGCGTAAAAATGGTCACCCGGTTTTGAGTTCGCGATTCTTGAGCAGGGTTTTTGTACAGTGGCGGCGCCAGGCTTCCAAATTTGGGGGGGCATTTGAGGGGCAAAGTCAAATTTGGGGGGGCAAGATAGAATTTTTAAAAAGGTCGCCTCCCCAGGAAATTCGCCCCCCCCCCCCTCATAACGTGGCGATATTCCTAGGAATATTGCCCCCGGGGGGCGAATATCCTAGGAATATCGCCTCCCAGGGGGTGGGGCGAATACCCTAGGAATATCGCCCCTCTTTAGGACATTCGCCACCCATATATGCGATGTGGTTTATTCAAATAATTTCGTGATACTTTCATCTTATTATTGCCTTACACGTTTGAGAATTTAACTCTGCAAAACTAAAGCTTTTTTGTCTTTTTTTGAAACGTATTATTGGAGTATTGGCAAGTTTTACCATTCAGAGATTTACAAACTAATATTGAAACTGTAAAACAGTTTCATGTATACGCGCATTCACTAATGAGTAATGACAACTTATAAGCCATACATTTTCCGATAACGACAGAACGCTTGTGTAGCCTTTAGTCGCTCTTAGTGACTAATAATTTTTTTGAGGGGGGGCAAAATGGGGGGGGGGGGGCAAAAATAATTTTGGGGGGGGGCATTTGCCCCCCCCCTGGCGCCGCCACTGTTTTTGTAATAACTATATCGAGCCACCTTAAAGAGTTCTTTCATTTAAGAAAATAAGAAATTTCATGTCATATGCACTTTAAAGGTGATCTACAGTCCGTATGTAAACAAAGCCTTTGTTTACATTTTTGTGTCCAAAATATTGAGCTTTATTCGACAACTATTTATATTTTCAAGCTTCTAGAGTATAATAAATTATCAAGAAACAACAATCAGGCTTTTCAAGAACTCAACTGAAACATATAGTTAAACTGTTTGTATCATAAAAAGTGGGCTCATTTGTGCACATGCGCAGATCGGACTGTAGATCACCTTTAAAGGTTTCCCGTGCAAGACAGTATTAAAGGGATAGTTGTAATTGGAATTTCTCAGTACTTCCATTCACTACCATACTGTACTATATAGCAATCAGGAAGTATCTGACCCGCCAAGACACCGAGTGTTTAGTTCATGCATTCATCTGCAGCAAAATAGACTATTGTAATGGCCTGCTCTATGGTCTACCAACTTCTGCTATCAGTAAACTTCAACGTGTACAGAAGCTGCTGCGAGGCTTGTCACCGGCTCGCCTAGGTTCTGCCACATAACACCAGTTCTGGAGTCGCTTCATTGGTTACCTATTAAATACCGAATCCATTTAAGATTGTCTTGGTGACTTTTAAATGTATATATGGTTTAGCTCCTCAATACCTTGTGAAACTTATATCTATTAAGACAAACTCTAGATATAGTTTGAGATCATGTGATAGCCTATCTCTTACATCACCTAGTGGAAAATGTTTGGCTACACTTGGTGATAGAGCATTTCAGTCGTTGCATTATTCGTTGCATTATCTCGTTTTCGTCATTCAAAACAGCACTGAAGACATATTTATTTGGACTAGCTTTTAGGTCTTGAATGATCTATTTTAACAATATTTTATCATCTTTTTTAACAATATTTTATCATATGAGTAGTGTTAGGTTCATTGTTGTAATGCGCATGTGAACATATTTCCATGCTAACATGCGCAATATAAATTCTATATATTATTATTATTTTCCGAAAAAGCGTCTTGTCAATTTACTGGATGGAAAAAAGTGCTAACCAATTTCGAGACCCTTTATCAGTTTCCTCTCAGCCTCTCACTTCCAATTGCCAAGAATTCCTTAGATTATCAATAAAAAATTCTTCATATTCAATAAAATTTCCTTAATTTCCTAACGTTAGTAAATAATTTGTGAATACAGCTTCAATAATAAAAGTGACAACTCTGACCCTTTGAGAAGTTTATTAAAACAGTTAAGACTGAGTCACTTTTTTGCATCCGACATCATAAGGTCAGATACATATGCTATGATTTTTTACAGGTTTGTAATCGAGTTGCTGCATGTACATCATTGGGATTCATTGCCGATGATCGAACAGATCCAAAAGACCTTGGGGACAAGCTAAGCGCTTTTTCGATGCTGGTACGGAGACATCATGTGCAGGAAATTGGACGCCCCAGTGTTGCCCCATATTTACTGCCAACGAGCATGTGGTAGATTGGCTGTTGAAGCCTGAAAGAGCTCGGTAAGAGTTAAAACTTTGCAAATCTATTCCAAGCTTTAAAATTAAACTGAAGCGGGAACTGCTTCAGCAATTTCTAGATAGTTAGCCTAAGGGCATGTTTTTCTGTTGTCGTTGTTATTGTCGTTGTTGTTGTTTTTGCTGTCGTTGTTGATGATGTACGTTGTATGCTGCTGTTGTTAATCTTGTTGTCAAACTTTTGATGTTGTGTTTGTGTATAAAGTAATTGTGTGATCTTATTATATAAATTTAGGATCTGATGTATAATTATAGTAATTAATTGATAATGTATATATATTTTTGTCACTGAAAAGCCCCTTTAGGGGAGTGTCAATAAAGTCAATAACAATAACAATACTTGTGCATTGTTATTGCTCATGGTTTTATTTTTACCGTTCACTTGTTAGTATAGTGACCTCGCTGCTGAAATATTTTCATTTTTTTAATCATTCTCAGGGAAGAAACACAAGGAGTGTGGACGAATGTTGGGATTACAATTTCAGCAAACTCCTTCCAAGGGTATCAACTGTCATTGGACAGATTATTTACATTGGGAAATGGATAATCATGCAGGAAGTAATTACGGAAGTAATTACGTAACTCAAATGTCAACAACAATTTTGCTCGCGTATTGAATAGCGATAGCCGTATATTTCGCACAAAAAATATGCCTGTTAATGCTTTGGAGTAAACTCTTTCTTGTATTTCAAGTATTTAGGCTTCGAAATTCAGTTGAAACCAGAACAGAGAAAGTCTATTATTAATTTGCTACGTATGTTGAAGACGCCGGTTATCGCGATTCTTCCTACGGGATGCGGAGAAGTTTGAGTTTCAATTATACATTTATATCGGCAAATTATTTAAGCTTGCTACATGCTATTTTAATAGCTCTGATCGTCTGATGCCAGCACGAGCAGGGATCGAATATTTCTTATAGTTGTCTTGATCTTTGTTGAGGCTACATTACTTGGTATTGCAGCTATATGAAGTTGGCCGATGATTTTATAAAGAATATTAACATTTCAAAACACGCTCAACTGTTAGTGGTTCAGAAGACTTTTAAAGGATAAAAGCTCTGTGTTGTGACTGTTGTCTAAAATAGCTTCAAAAAGTCATTAATAATTCATGAGGAAAACGCAAAGAAAAATCATAAACGTGTCGTATCTTTATATGCGATAGAGATTTCCTTGGACATACACAACGAATTTTTTGAAAGTTATTTCTCCAATGAACTTACTAGAATTAAGACATTCGCAGTGCGTGTTTTATCAGACCATCTTTATTTCGGATAAAACACTGCTGCTCATGTTTTAAATACAGACACCTTCACACCCATGATTTTTTTGTTTTCTTCATGAATTATTAATGATTTTTTAAAACTATATACATTAGCACCTAAGAAAACCTTTCTCAGCCAAATTTCTAAGATAGTCTCAAAGAATACCTTGGCATTTATTTGGGCTTCATCGTTCAAATTGTATACATGTATAGTGGATATAAATTATTGACCTCATCCAGGACTGTGTTATTTTTTAATGAATTGCAAAGCAACTTTCTTTCGGCTACAACATAAATCACGGAAGTGTTTTGTCGTTTTGTTTCATGATATGTTACCCACATTCCACAATTTTTGGGCGAGATCATATGACGATGATTGTCAAAGATCAAGTTTCTAGATTATTTATCAATTTATTTATTATATATTTACATATTCTGATTAATAAGTATAATCCTGGGGCCGGTTGTATAAAACTCATAATCACTTTTTAATTACTATTTTGTAGTTAAACTTTCAAATAGGCGCTTCTTATTGGATGACGTTTCCACTTAACTATAGTTAACATTAATCACTTTTTTATACAGCTGGCCCCTGATCAGTAGTTCCACAATTATATAATTAATGAATTTACAATATTTGTAACTATGTATTTATGATATTTTATTGTCATGAATTTCTAATTACATACAAACTTTTCTGTATTGATACTGTTTTAGTTCAGTAACATAAATCATGAAAAAAGGAAAAGGAATTCCCATAGATGCTATTCTTTTTAAATTTGGGAAATATACGTATTTTGATTTTTGATTTGATAATGCAGGTTAAATACATATGTCAACTAAAAGCTGATTCTGCCAACGTTTGGTTTTGAATCTTCAAAGATTTGAATTCGCTCTTTATTACAAAAGGTAGGAGCAATCCAATTAAAAGGGCAATGTCACCGATTTTTGAGCAATTCTAACCCTCTCAAATTTTGCCCCAAACTGAAAAAAGAAATAGTGTAAGCACAAAATAAATCATTAACAGACACAAAAAAATGTACTGAAGTCTGGATGGGCTATATTACGCCAGGACTGAGATGGGTTGTAAATGGGATCATGATTAATAAATTGTTGGCAGACACTTTTTTCAAGGGTTCTCTCAACTTTAGTCAATTTTTATGAAAATGACATGTTACATGTTGGCATGTAGTAAAACATGGACTGGACTCATTAGTAAAACATGGACTGGACCCGATTAGTAAAACATGGACTCTATTAGTAAAACATGGACTCTATTAGTAAAACATGGACTCTATTAGTAAAACATGGACCCGATTAGTAAAACATGGACTCTATTAGTAAAACATGGACTCGATTAGTAAAACATGGACTCTATTAGTAAAACATGGACTCTATTAGTAAAACATGGACTCGATTAGTAAAACATGCACTCGATTAGTAAAACATGGACTCGATTAGCAAAACATGGACTCGATTAGCAAAACATGGACTCGATTAGTAAAACATGGACTCGATTAGTAAAACATGGACTCGATTAGTAAAACATGGACTCGATTAGTAAAACATTCCTAAATGTAGTTCCTTGTCTGTTTTTTTTGTAAATTGTAATCTTAAATCTCATCGATGTTCACGTAAAGTTTCAGGAAGCATCGGCCATTGGCATTGTAAGTAAATAGTGTGGAATAAATACCAAATTATTTACCGACAGCTAGGTAATGCTATATAATATAGATATAGATAATTTCTTGATTTTTATGTAAACAGAAACACCTTTGCCATTTTAACACGTCCACATCGATTTATCCCAGGAGAAACGTCATTTGGACGTGGTTGCGCCGTTGTGTACACTCATATTCTTTATAAATATATACTCGATAAAAAAGATTCTCTGACAATCGGCATGTTTCCTGCAATACTAATTTACGAATTTTGGATTGATAGTGTCAGACATTCTGACCACCGGCAACCGTTTGCCAATAGTCAAGTATGATGCCAAGTTTACATATTTGTTTGCGTGCGAACAACGGCCGATAAATAGATCTGGGGTCGGTTGTATAAGTCAGAAACATATACAAATCTATGAACTATTGACTACAAGCAAACTAAAATTTTCTTTTCTTTCTAAACATAATTAACAATAATAACAATCTTTTAAGCCAAACGCCTTTGATACAACCGACCCCTGTTCAATTTCGTGTTAGGTTTGTAAGGTGGGGGGGGGGGGGGGAGGGGGTCATCTGGGAAACGTCCATAATTAGGAAGTTCCTCGTGGAATAAATCGATACGCGACACTTTCAAAAATATCTTGCCCCTCACAGACTCAAGAAATACGGCAGCATAAAATATAACACAATGAAAAGTTGTTTAAATGTTTCAGGAAAAAAATGGTCTGATCATTCAGTGGAATAGCACATCATGCCTACCAACATGAAATATTCCAGATGAAAGGTTCAACTCTGAAAAAATAGTTCAAATAACTCAACGAAAAATATGCTAGATTGTATTGCTAAATAACCGTCATAACTAATTGATACCTAATACCTTAAGTATCAAATCATAGTGCTCTTTCCGAAGGCGTGGCCTTAGATCGTCCTGTAATTGGCAAGATGCTGCGTTGAAATCTTTGTAGGCAGATCGAGCGCAATATGAACTGACATGAATATATGAACCAGCATTCGTATGTAGTTCGACTGTACAATATTATACAGATATATTGAATGGAGTATTAAAAATGCTATCAGAATAATGTACGAGTTCACGGATCGAAAGCTATTAAAAGTTTACGTGCTGTTTTCCACCCCGAAATATTATTCATTTTAACTGGAATTACAGCGATGAAATTATTCTGTTTTACTAATAGAGTCCATGTTTTACTAATACAGTCCATGTTTTACTAATCGAGTCCATGTTTTACTAATAGAGTCCATGTTTTACTAATAGAGTCCATGTTTTACTAATAGAGTCCATGCTTTACTAATAGAGTCCATGTTTTACTAATAGAGTCCATGTTTTACTAATCGGGTCCATGTTTTACTATAATACAGTCCATGTTTTACTAATCGAGTCCATGTTTTACTAATAGAGTCCATGTTTTACTAATCGAGTCCATGTTTTACTAATAGAGTCCATGTTTTACTAATCGGGTCCATGTTTTACTAATCGGGTCCAGTCCATGTTTACTAACGAGTCCATGTTTTACTAATAGAGTCCATGTTTTACTAATCGAGTCCATGTTTTACTAATAGAGTCCATGTTTTACTAATCGAGTCCATGTTTTACTAATCGGGTCCATGTTTTACTAATCGGGGTAGTCCATGTTTTACTAATGAGTCCAGTCCATGTTTTACTACATGCCTTCCTTATCCGAACCAATTCACCATAGGTTTTTCCTTTTTCTTCGCGCGTTTTCTCGCATTTCGCGTTCGCCAAACCTAAAAGAACCTATAGGCCAGGGTAGCACATGAGAAGCACGGCGTCTAAATCAGTCAAGCACTGCACTTAATATTAAGCACGGCTAAATAATAAGTTCGCCTGGTTCAGGCGTGCTACACGGCTGAAGCACACCTTGATTTATACTGCCGTGCTTTACATGAGCCGTACCAAATGCATAAATTATGATAAAATAGAACATTTATAGTACGCGAGCGTTGATTGGTCGAGAAGCGTGTTTCTACACGGGAAATTTCCCACCTAAACTTACAATCGTAAACAAAACAATTTTAATGCAAATTAAAAACAATTTTACCTACTCAGCTCATTTTGTAACTGTTACAGTCAAAATACAAAAACCTTCCCACTTCCGCATCTTCGGTTTCGTATTTCTGTAATTTGTTCTATTTTTTCTGCAGTAAGTGATTTAATACCGCTTTATCGGCAAATATCGCGGTAGAATTTCCCTTTCTTTTCTTTATATACGTCAATTTGTAGCAAAGGGTGTACACCTTTCGTTAGATTTTATGCATAAAAGTTGCGAAATTAGGCTTATAGCGATATTTGCTGATAAAGGCAAAAAGGGTTTCTTGCAGTGAAATTGATGGAGCAAAGGTCGGCATTATTACGTAATGAGAATTTGTAAAGATATCAAGACTACTACAAATCTTTTTTTAGTTATATTATGAAATAAATATAAAACATTTATTATGTGTGACCCAATCATACAGTTATAGAAACAATTGTAGTAGTTTGGAAGAACTCCAATAACGTGGAAAAACTCGCTCTAAGCCTATTTCCCCACATTATATCCAGGCATTATGCTATGTTTGTAGTAATAAGGCTTTTCAAAAAGCAGTTGAAATTTTTAATAACCGCAAACCTGTAGACGCTCAGAAATGCCAAGATTGTATGTGATAAACCCTTTTTTCTTATTATAAAATGTCACTCGCCCCAGCTTCCGAAGTGAAGCAGCGCAAATCATTAAGTACGGTTCATGAAAAGCACGCCCGGCTGTCTAAATCAAAGCCTGTCTAAAGTACGCCTATTTACTCGAGTAAAATATGAATTAAGTTCGGCTCATGAAAAGCACGGCGTCTAAACCGGGCCTTAGCGAGGTGTACAATGAAACTAAACGTTTGAAGGCAATAGCTAACGGCCTATTTATGAAACAGTTCATTATTGACATTGGCGATTTTTAGCTTTAATATTAAATGACTGAAAGAAGTTTTGGTGGCGATATAAGTGCACGTCCCGTTAAATTATTATACAAGATGATGTATATTATGTACGGGGTTTCAAGTAGGTGTATACTATATACAGTATGCTGCATATAAATAAAGGCACGCATTACGAGAACAACAATGACGACATTTTTTTGGTGAAAAATACTGCGCATGCATGCAGTTAATGATCATTTTCAACTTTATTAAATGAAAACGAACATTAAAAAAGCAATAAGTGCACAGTCCCTTGTTTTCTTGTTCAAAATATATAAAAATGATGATCTGATATTTGCTTAATTAATTAAACTGAAGTTATAGGGTTCGGGGTTCCAACTATGCGCACACTTCGAGAACAACAATGGCGACATTTTTTAGTCAAAACTTATACTACGCACGAAGTTAATGGTCATTTTAAGCTTCATTAAAGCAAAAAGATGTTAGAAAAAGCTATAAATGCTGTATAAAAAAACTTGTTTATCCTGAACTCACACATCACGGCATGTAGTTGCATGTAACTGCTCTCTAATGCACCCTCGATTCATTTTAGATGATAATGGCGTGTTTCAAATGAAAACTTATAGCTTCATTCTCAAGTTATAGGGTTGCCAACAACTACCTAATTTTACGTGCGACATTTTTTATTACATGTTTCGACAAACTGGAATTAAATGACTAGTATATTGAATTAAAATTAAAATGAAAACGCACTTACCTTCACAATAACTCTGTCTTAAACTGACGTAAAATAAAAATACAACACTTAAATGACCATATATTCACAAAATAAACAAAATAAACAAAAATAACACAGGATTCGCATCGTATTTTTTCTGAAAAAAAGACTACGGTTGTGCGGCAACCCCAGGAATTGACCTGCTTAAAGCCATATCACGGATTGCACGTAGCATCATACGCGCTAATTCGTTTGCATTTCCAGTCCCTGTCGTTTGGATTGTCTATGGACCTCTATGGACAAAGCGACCGCAATGGAAAACAGCCTTTACGCTCCCCTGATCATCCATGAACAAATTTGTTAGTGTAGACAATGAATTCACAGTTTATGCATGTTCACAACTAATATATACATCTGGCCTTTAATACAGTTAGTAAGATCATATGGATGAAGTTAAAGCGTTCTTAAAGGATTATTCAAGGTACGTTACTTTATAACGTTACCTTGTAAGATACATGTCACAATTCCTTCGACAGATATAACCTGGTAAAACATGCAGAATGTATAAATTAATCATTAATTTGTGAGAATAATACCTGCATGCGTTATTTCGCTCAACATTTATTTGAAGCGTTCAGCGTTCTTAAAGGACTGTACAAGGTAAGTTACTTGATAAGTGCGAGGTGTAGTGCGTGTCAAACACTTTGACATGTGCGTATCATTATTATACATTATATATACAAGCCGTATAGGCGAGATACTTATGTTTACCATTGACTGAACATCAGGAATGTCCAAATGTTTATATCTTAGTTAAATAAAATGTATAAGTCTTTGTACGTGTATATGCTCAATGCAACCGTATATGTCACTGTAAAAGGATCATGTCACAATTCCTTTGACAGATATAGCGGGTAAACCATGTTTTATATATGTGCCAAATTAATTCGCATTAATTTGAGATAAGACCCATGCAAAGCCGTAGCTAGACACGATAATTGGGGTGTGTATTTAACAGTTATTTTACGAACTCGAATCGAATTTGAGCTGATAGTCGACGAGGCGCGTAGCGCCGAATCGGCTATCGATCATATTCGACGAGAGTGAGTGGAATAACTGTTTTATTATATACACAAGGTCTGAATTCACAGACTTTGCTTTTCGAATATTTTCAATATTTCAATCGACGAACACCTTAACTGATATGCTCAAGGAACTGAAGTTCGATGAACAACAAATTAAATACATTAAAAAGAAAATCATTGCTACTTGTATTGGCGCATCATACTGTATTATGTATTCTGTCAACGAAACAAACAATGGACTAGCCCAGAGCTTTTAAAATTTTGAAGGATATCAAAGTCCTTATTTTTGTAAATTTATATAATGCAAATATTTTTCAAGCAGTCATCGATAAACTACCTTTACGAGCGAGGTTAATCAATGTAAATATAGTTTTATGGTATATTATGAAATAAATAAAGTTTCCATTATTATTATTATTATCAATGGTCTTTAAACACGGTAACCTTTCACACAGGTGATTTTGAAAGGGCCGTGCGGAAAATACACTCATTATAAAAGAAGGAACTAATAAACTAAATAATACTTCTGATTTTATCTGTGTTGGTGTAATGTACTCAGGTGAATATGATGCTTGTGATGTTACTCTGAGTGTAGGAGGCCTACTTTGGGGGCCAAGTTCGCCTAATGTCGCCCAATTTCGCCTAATGTCGCCCATGTGCACCCAATTTTTGAACTTTGCCTAACAGTCTATTCGCTTAATGTCGCCTAATTTTGCTTAATGTCGCCTAATGTCGCCCAGTTTCGCCCAATGTCGCTCAATGTCACCCAGTTTCGCCCAGCGACGCATACTATACTTTTCTTCGAAGATTGCCAATGTCGCCTAATGTTGCACAATGTTGCACATGATAACGGCGACCTTGGCCCCCAAAGTAGGTCTTGTAGGTACTCGAAGGAACTAGATTCTGTTCCGAAATATCAAATACTCGAACCGCGACCAGACCACGTATACTAGCTCAGTTGGCAGAGCATTGGGCTAGTATTCCAAAGGTCGTATAGGTTCGATTCTCACCGTGGTCAGGCATATTTTTCAAGCTTGCCCGGTGTGGATGTACACTCAGAGTAACATCACAAGCATCATATTCACCTGAGTACATTGCACCAACACAGAAAAAAATCATGATTATTCTTAGATAAGATTGATATCGAAGGAACTAGATTCTGTTCCGAAATATCACATACTCGAACCGACCAGACCGCGTAGCTCAGTTGGCAGAGCATTGGGCAAGTATTCCAAAGGTCGTAGGTTCGATTTCCACCGTGGTCAGGCATATTTTTCAAGCTTGCCCAGTGTCGATAAACACTCAGAGTAACATCACAAGCATCATATGCACCTGAGTACATTACACCAACACAGAAAAAATCATGATTATTATTAGATTAGATTGATGTCGAAGGAACTAGATTCTGTTTCGAAATATCACATACTTGAACCGACCAGGCCGCGTAGCTCAGTTGGCAGGGCATTGGGCTAGTATTCCAAAGGTCGTAGGTTCGATTCCCACCATGGTCAGACATATTTTTCAAGCTTGCCCAGTGTGGATATACACTCAGAGTAACATCACAAGCATTAAATATTACTTATTTACAAAATATACTTATTTACTTATTTACAAGATGTGATTATTTAATAGATGATGGACAGATTTTAAACTTGTTGACTCTCTTATGGTTTTCAACAAGTTGATTGGGATGTTGTTCCAATACGCTGCCCCTCTGTGCGAAAAGCTATTTTTCAAGAAATTCGTTTTTGGTTGAGGTTGAGACAGCTTTAAATTACTACTGCGCGCAGTACGTAACCACTGTTTTCACAAGTGTGAAATAGTTGTGTTACATATACTGGAAGCATGCCATTAATCGCTTTAAATGTCATAAAAAGATCTTGCTTTTTCAAAATTAAGTCAAGACGTTTCCAGCTAAGTTTTTGAAAAATGTCTGAAGATCTTATAGTATAGTCCGAATTTGTTATTACTCTTGCTGCTCGTCTCTGAAGCTTATATAATTTGTCTAAGTGTGTTTTGTTGTCATTTTGCCAAACAGTTGAACAGTAGTTAAAATGAGGCATGACTAATGCGTTATACATAATTTTTAGCGTATCTAGGCCAACAAAATCCTTGGTTTTTCTTAAAAGATTAATATTTTTTATATCTTGTTGCAGTGTTCTTCATTTTGCCTGTTCCAGCTAAGTCTATCGTCTATAACTATACCCAACATACCCTTTTTTATAAACTCGTTCAATTTGATGTCGGTTTATACTAATTTTTGGCACGTGATCTAGGTTTTTCAATCGTTGCCGAGATCCAATAATCATATATTTAGTTTTTTCGTTGTTTAATGTTAGTTTATTCGCTGATAACCATTTGTGAGCACTTACTAGGTCTTTGTTAGGTTTGTATTCAATATCTATGGGTAAATGCCCTTGACATGATAAAATTGTGTCATCAGTAAATAAATTAGAGAGTGTTGTTTCTACGCTGGGAGGTCGTTAATATGAATGAGACATAATAGAGGTTCAAGATTTGAACCATGAGGTACTCCACAACGATTGTTTCAATATCAGATTTACAGTTATTACACATGCAAATTTGAGACCTGTAGATTTTGCATTTGCATATTTTAAATTCTCCTTTCAGCTCATAGCTTGATATGCTATGAAAGTGAAATACATTTGTGACTTGATCTATATATGACAAAGTATCAGGACTACTGCAATTATCAGCAATGTTATTTACTAATTTGGGACCTATAAAAGTGAAGAATTTACACATTCTATTTTCTGCCTACAGCAAGCTTATATATCCTGTACAACTGGATCCGGGGTGTTGTTATACTACGGTCAATAAGACAGTATGGATCGAGCTAGAGCGTTCTTGAAAGTCTCTGTTCGGTAAGTATATAATTTTCATAGCCTACATTGGAGTTCTATTCATTCTACTCCAAGGCAAAAGGAGAATATAAATTGTATTCTCTTTAGGTATTTATACACATGCATTTGCACGACTCATAACCACGCCAAACTGAGTGACGTGCGGGATAATTTTTTTAACTTGCAGCACCTAAATCGTTGAGAATGGCATTTTCAGAGTTTTCTCTACTTCTTTCGTCCGGAACTATGTGCTTTGGAAACGCTGTGTTAGAACGTGAGAGTTTATTCGCACTTACTACGTTCATTCGCATTGATTACATTTCGTCTTTCCCTCTTCCCCGCGCGAGTTTACCTGTTGCCTTACATTTCGCAGATATATTCAGTCATGTTTTGAATTATAAACTGGTTGTAAATACTAAAACTACAAACTCCCCCCTCCACCGCCCTCGCTCCTGCGGAAAAGACAGAGCACTGATGTACTGTTTAATAAACGAGCAGGAGTGTTTTATTAGGATCTAATAAAACACGACCTGCGGGTATATATATGTATATATATATATATATATATATATATATATATATATATATATATATATATATATATATATATATATATATATATATATATATATATATATATATATATATATATATATATATATATATATAATACTAATGAGGACACGACTACAATAGGTACTGCCTTATTAGTATTCTTTATATAAAGAATACCATTTAAGAGTGTTTTATCAGGTTTAAAGCCACTGCACGTGACATATTATGGTTGAGATGATTTGCCAATAAGCATATGAATTATTAATGAGTGTTTGAAATAAAAAGTAATATTGGTTAATCCAAACCCCTTGAGCATTCACCTCAATTTTGGAACAAACATACCACCATGAAATTTTTTTGCAAAAAATTCTGTAGCCGCTTTTTTTGGAATAGATTTCCCCCTAATATTTTATTTCTTCGTTCGCAACACTGACGACCGGGCGGCCATTGCTCATTAATTAAAATATTATCCTAAAAAATCGGAGTTAAAATATTCTTGCTTTATCTTCTTTTCTTCTATTGTACTGCCTGAAAACAACTAGTAAGACTCCCACTTTTAGCTTTTTAAAACAAGTAGCCAATCAAACAAGTAGCGAATATTGCAGAGGGTTTTAATGATTATTTTTCAAATATTGCCCCAAATTTAGCTAGCCAAATTAATACTTCAAATTTGAACTTTGAAACATATGTCAAAAATACTGAATCAGAATTTACCGCATTCTAACCTGTCACGGTCAATCATGTCTACCAACTTCTGACTGGTCTCTCAAGCAGCAAAGCCACAGGTGTCGACAAAATTTCTTGCAAAATTATTAAGATTGCTTCACTTGCTATTTCAGATTTACTAACACATATTCAGTTTTAATCAGGCCATTACTCTGTCCTCATTCCCTGATGAATGGAAAATGGCTAGAGTAATACCCTCTATTCAAAAATGGCCAACGTAATGTGGCAGGAAATTACAGACCAATTTCTATCCTGCCAGCCATTAGCAAAATTATGGAAAAAATTCTGTATAATCAACTGTACAGTTACTTATCCAAATATAGACTTTTAAGTGACAGCCAATTTGGTTTTCGAAAATTTCATTCTACGGCTACTGCATTATTAGATTGTACAAATGACTGGTATGTGAATTTAGACAGAAAAATGTTTAACTTGGTTGTTCTAATTGACTTAAAAAAGCATTCGATACAGTCGACCATCAAATTTTATTGAGGAAATTGGAGCTGTACGGTATAAAAGGCCAGGCACTATCTTTTCTCAATTCATATCTCTCAAATCGAAGTCAGAAATGCCAAATAAATGGATTTTTGTCATCGGAGAAAGTGATTAGATGTGGTGTGCAACAAGGCTCTATTTTAGGGCCATTATTCTTTTTATTGTACATCAATGATTTGCCCCAATGTCTATCAAAAACAAAACCTCGGCTATTTGCTGATGACACAAACCTGACAGCTTCTGGCGACTCGATAACTCGTCTTGAAGCTGCAGTGAATTCTGATTTAGAAAACCTAAAAAAATGGCTAATTGCCAATTAACTTAGCCTCAATGTTGCAAAAACTGAATTTATGTTAATTGGCTCAAAACAAATTATTAAAAGCCTTTCAAATTTGCAGCCAAATGTGGTAATTGAAAACAAACAGATTAAACAAGTGCATGAGTGCAAAACTCTTGGTGTGACAGTCGACCAGCATTTGTCGTGGAAAAGTAGTCCGGAAGGTCGACAAGGAAATTTCTTTCAAGGATTAAGTACTGTTTAAAACACGCATAGGAGTGTTTTGTCATATTTAAAATGCGAATGCACAATAGATGCCGTCTCATTAGCTATAGTATTCTTTAAGATGGATTTTTATATAAAGAATACTAATGAAGATGAGTTTTATATTATCAGCTATAACGCCTGTGGCAATAGACCTTTCCGGTAATTACGTCACAACTAACACTGTTTTCAACTTAGGACCACAATCATGGAAATTAATTCGTAGACTTTTCAAAAATTTCCCACATTTCCCCCCTCCCCGTTTACAATGTTGGTTTGTGGTCCAATAATCATGGTTTGAACCAACATTGTGCTAGGGGGAGGGGGGAGTTACTATTTCTAGCGATCATGGATGTTTGTATTGACTAAAAATAAATGGCTTTACAAAATAGTAAGACAAGATGCGTTTTAAAAAAGTCTACGGATATTATTTCCATGATTGTCTAAATTTGAAGACAAAAATTGCGCGGGGATATTTGGAGACGCGGTGTATAAATCCTCATTAAAGCTCTAAGGGGCCATTCACAAAGGATGTCCGGCCAAACGATGGATTTTCAGAGCCCCCCCTTGTCCGCATTG